TTAGTAGACTATAAAACCAATTCGGTGATATTAGTATTTATTTTAAAATTGAACTATGGTTGACTTACAATATTATATTAGTTTCAGGTGTACAGCATAGAGATTCAGTATTTTTATAGATTCTATAGAAAACATCAGAGAGCAGGGCATCTAAGGGTTAGCATTTTATTGAAACTTTTGTTTCAGATATATGTAAGTATGTGTGTGTGTGTGTGTGTGTGCGCATGTATACTGGACTGCAATATAAACTGTGTATCTTACCATATATTGTGGTCAAAAATGCTTGAAAGACAAGTTTCTAACCTATCAAATGACATGTCAACAGTTGACAGCACGAATTATTTACAAATATTTATTATCAAGTAAAACAGGATACATCACTTGCCTTTTCTAAACAAACTTCATTGTAAAACATTTCTCTCACCCTCTTCTCAGATCTTACCTCCCTCAGTTTTACACACAGACTGGGAGGAAGTCAGGAGCCAGGAATGAGAAACCACACAGCAGTAACCACATTCATCCTCCTGGGACTAACAGATGACCCACAGCTGCAGATTCTGGTTTTTGTATTTCTACTTATCACCTACATGTTGAGTGTAACTGGAAATCTGACCATCATCATCCTTATATTAGTGGATTCCCATCTTAAAACTGCAATGTACTTTTTTCTACAAAATTTCTCCTTCTTAGAAATCTCATTCACTTCTGCCTGTATTCCCAGATTCTTGTACAGTGTATCAACAGGTGACAGGACCATTACCTATAATGCTTGTATAAGCCAACTATTTTTTACTTACGTGTTTGGAGTAACAGAATTTTTTCTCTTGGCCGCCATGTCCTTTGATCGCTACGTAGCCATCTGCAAACCCCTGCATTACATGACCATCATGAACCACAGGGTCTGCAAAATGCTTATCTTCTGCTGTTGGATGACCACTCTGTTGATTATATTCCCACCACTTAGCTTGGGACTGGACCTGGAATTCTGTGACTCTAACATCGATCACTATTTCTGTGATGTTAATCCACTCCTGAAGGTTTCATGCTCAGATACATGGTTCATTGAGCAGATGGTTATTTTTGGCTCTGTGTTGATCTTTCTTATGACTCTCTTGTGTGTGGTTCTGTCCTACATGTATATCATCAGAACAATTCTAAGGTTCCCTTCTGCCCAGCAAAGGACAAAAGCTTTTTCCACCTGTTCTTCCCACATTATTGTGGTTTCTATCACCTGTGGCAGTTGCATCTTTGTCTACATCAAACCTTCATCAAAATATGAAACAACCATTAATAAGAGAGTAACGATACTCACTACTTCCATTTCCCCCATGTTAAACCCATTTATTTACAGTCTGAGGAACAAACAAGTCAAACAAGCCTTTAATGACGTAGCCAGAAGAATTATATTGCTCTCAAAGAAGTAGGGGAATGCTGAAGTCAGGATCCCTAAGCAAGTATCTTTGAGTCTATCCTATTTTGTCTCTTCCTGAGCTAGATTTGGTCTCTTATTCTGTACTGACCCTGATCAAGTCACCACTGTTATCCCCTATACATGAACCTCTTTGAGAATTATAGCCCTTATAAAAAATGAAAACAGTTGTTTCAGGATATCTAAGAATGACCTTACTCTCAACCTTTCCTTTCCACTTGCTGAAAGGATTGCACATCAGTCCTCAAAAAGAAAAAAACACCTAAAACAAAACAAAGAGAAAAAGTATTAGAAAGAATACTATCTCTAAGTGTAGCAAGGAAAATATTCTCAAAATCCCAATATGTATTTTAAAACTAGGAATAAGTATAAAGATTTAGGATTTCAAAAAAGTATTTACTGCTGACAAAGCTTTAAAATTATAACTTACATATTTATTGAATGGATCCAAGTCAATATAGAAGTTATTTAAAAATCGCCAGTGAAACATGGCTTAAATTAAAATCAAGAGAGAAATGCATTGATGATTCCTGTTAAAGGATTAAAATCTGTATTGAAATTGCATGTAACAGATTGATACCAATATACCAATAAATGTGCTAAATTGCAAACAGGTGGCAGCAAGTCTAAGAAAAGCCATAGGGCTAGAAGAGTGATAAATAAATAACCAGGAAGCCAAATATGCAGGAGGTGGAGTAAAGAAAACAGAATATTATATGACTACAAGTCTCAATTAAATGAATTGCATTTTAAAAATGAAAACTTCAGTCATTTCAAGAATTTAAAATATGTACCTACTGATAACCCTTCAAAGAAAGATCTGCAGTTAGTTACTTATTAAATTCTTCACCAACTTGAACTTCTGTAGTCCAGCATATTTAAACTTCCTTTGATCCTTGCTCTCTTACTTGAGGCTACTGATCATCTCATGGGCCCTGTAGACAGAAACTTTCCACTCATTTCATCTACCCGATCTCAGGGTCCTCCAGTTTATGTGGCATTAACACAAGGAATCTTTTGCTGACCTTATTCCTACTCCTCCACCAACACTACCACCGAGCCCTGGATTAGTCGTACTCATCCACCCCTTTGTCCTCACTTATCTGCTGCTCTCATGTCTCTTTCCAAACTCCAATTTCATGCTTACTTGTCCTGATTCTACTCTACATGGTCAGTGCCTTGGAGAAGTCTGTCTTATATGCCACACTGTAGGATGCTTTATGCCTGGCACCTAGACAAACATTGGTTATGCAATAGATAATCTTTCAACATGGTGCTTTGATATTTCTGATAATGAAAAATGAGAATTTTTATGTGAAGATTAAAAAATACAAAGTAACATTTGGCATTAATCTGTGAACCAAAGGTGAAAGAACTACCCTGTTAAAATGTCTATTTTTATATATCTGAATGAAATAGAGTAAAATCAGCACTGATTAAAAATTCACATACTGATAAACCTGAGAATTACAAGTGATTTATAGTCATAATTTACACTGGAAAAATGTGGGGAAATAAAAGTTTAAAAAAGTGAACTATTGCTAGCAAGTGACATATCTAGGATCAAAACTAGTTTAACTGATTTTAAATGGAAGTAGTTATTCATGTTGATAGATCTACTTCTCCAGAGGCATCAAGAGGATTTCAAGGAGCAGCCCAAGAAATATCTGTCAGTACTAAAATTAAGTAAGATAGGTAACATAAACAAAATACAAAGATAAAATGAAGAGCTTTTATACACATATAGTATTAATACTGTGGTAATAATAAATGGTATTAATTATTATAATGGGTTAATATCCTATAAAAACTATAACCTAAATTAAAAAACCAGATTAGCAACATACAGACTTGAAGAGCAAGAGAAACTGAAAAAAGAAGCAAAAGCAAGAAAAGAGGGAAAAAGAAAAAGTGGTCTGTAATTTGAATTTTCAACCTCATTGAGAAAAGCCTGGCTCTAGGAACTTTCTTGGCGCTGATCATCTGTTCTCCTATGACAAAGACTTCTCAAGTGAGTCCACTGAGACACTAGAAGGTCCTGCAGGAATTTCTCAAAATCTTTTATTTTATTTTATTGAGTTATAGTCAGTTTACAATGTTGAGTCAATTTCCAGTGTAGAGCAGAATTTTTCAGTTATACTTGAACATACACATATTCTCAAAATCTAAGAGTGCTTTAGAGAGAGGTTCTCCAAGTTCAGTCCCCATCTGGGACCACAAATGTTCAGTGGCCTTCTAGATTTCAAGCCGAAAAAAGCATTTGAGCAGGTGTCCTAACCCTATGGCTACAGTTTAACCTCAGATTTCTAAAATATTTAGCTTCTCTGATTTTGTGATTCTGCCATAACCCAGGCTACTCATCCATCCATTTAAATCTAGGATACACACACACACACACACACACATTTTAGTTAAGATTTAGTCTTTGTGTTATTTCCTCCATGTGAGAGTTGCTATCTCCATGGCTAAGATGAAGGGTGTAGTGTTTACCATCTGAATAGCAAGTCTTCAGTGATACCAGTTTATAGAACTGTGGTCACACCACTGATTTCTGACTTGTTTAAATCAAGGGTGCAACATCATTTTCTACACAAGTGTGGTTTACCCTCTGGGCTCACAGCTTGGTCTTATATGTAAGCAGTACCCATGGTATTAGTTTTCTAAATGATAACATGGCTGCTAATTGGTATTATTTAATCCCATACTTCCTCCATATGAGTTCCAAAAAAATTGAGTCAGGTAAGTAAATATAGTTGCTTTATTCACGATAAATGTAGATTGAAGAAGATGGCTAAGATGAGAGAGCATCCTTAAGCTGGCTTAATTTACGTGCCATGTTAGAAGTCAGCTATTTCTGAAGTCATTAGGCGAGGACAGCTGGCCCTCATGAGCTCACTCAGTGGCAGACGGAGGGAAGAGGGCAGCGGGGCTTGTCTTACAGGTCACCCGTCATGAGTAGTGATGTCATCTCGGTCTCAACAAGTAGACACATTTTGCAGAAAATTATTTAGTCATCTAGGTTCTTAAACAATTCTCAAGTGGCATTTTTCAACATTCACAAAAGGAGACAAGACATACTAATTAACAGGCATATACCCATTGTCTGGATTCCATAATTATCAACATATTAAAGTTATTTTTCTCTGTCACCCTCTGATCTTTTATTTTTTGACTTTCATTTTGCCTTATAGCATTTCACCTATAAATTCATTTTATTTCATCCACAAGTTTATCAGTAGGTAAATTGAGCTGATAAGAAAATTATCTTTATACCCACCAGCATGCCATTGTCCCATGTACCAATTTTGTGAATACATCACAATAGATGCTCATATTCAGAGTGTGTTTATGAAGGATTAGGCAAGGGAGTAACTTCTCTGATGCTAAAACTGTTTGCTGATTCTTCCTAAGAAATCCTGCAGTTTGTGCTAAGCAACCCCCAGACTTCTCCCTTACATTCTTTACAATAGTTTTGACCCAGAGGCTATGCTCCAGGAAAAGAGTAATGGGCCAAAAATCTCATAAGAATGGACAGACCCTCCTCAGTTCCCCTGTGAGGCTGAGGTTAAAAGGAATGTAGCAGCCCTGTAAAGTGCCGTTGATTGTTACCACCTTTTCTGATCCATTCATTTTTTTCTATAAAACTTCAAGACCCCAATCCCAAGACGGGTTCACAGTCTCTAAGGCATGAGCCTGCTGTGACTCCCTTTGCCTAGCAAAGCAATAGAGCTATTTTTCTCCCGCAGTTCTGCCCCTGAGTTTCAGTCTGGGTTTCCGGGTGCAGAGGTCAGTTTTGTGGCAACAACTTTGGCAACTCAGCATAGGACTTGAATCCTCTTTCCTCTTTCCTACCCCTGGACACCTCGGCTTGATCTGTCACTCAAAGGGCAACGCCTGTACCAGCCTCCCCTTGGGACAGCGGAGGGTCCAGGGAGACCAGGAGGCCAGATCTCCGGGGCAATCCGGAACAATCCGAAACAATCCGAAATAATCCGAACAGGAGAGGAGCGCATCTGTGTGTGAGCCACCCCGGCTGCGGTAACTGAGGGCGGGGACTCTGAGGCCGGAGGAGGAGAGCAGGGCAAAAGGGGCCCCGCAGCTGCTGAAGCCCCCTTGCGTCAGGAGTCTTTCCCTTCTTCTTTCCCATCTTGATCTGACCCTGCGGCTGCTCAGAAACTCGAGAGAGAAGAGAACGCGGCTAGGGACACCACGGCTCCTCAGCCAGGACTAGGGTAAGTTTACGCGTAACCACCGAGGCGCCTTCGACCCTGTCCGGGGTCTCCCTGAGGCAGGAGAGTCCCCAGTTTCATGGGGCTCTTCCTCCCTGAGAGAGTTCCTGTTTGATAGGCACCAACTGGATAGGCTTCTTGGGCTTAGTGGAACTAGGAAGCTGTTGTTTTGACTTTGAATTTTGACTTGTGCCTGCTTTGAATTTTGAGGCTTCCATTTGCGGCCGAGGTTTGAATTTTGTGTTGTGTGTTCATGAAAGATCAAAATAGACAGTGCTGTTTCAATTCCATCAGCCAGTCCCTTAGGAAAAGTCTTGACAGACTAGTCAAACTCCAGTTAGTTACCAACTTCAGTGTCTTTGAGATGCAAATATTCTACCTGGTCTTCTTCAGGAACCCTGATCTCACCATCTTTTTTAAAATGCAAATCTGGAAAAAGGGGGTAAAAATCTGAAACTTGACTTGTTAAAGACAAATAAAAATCTTGTCTCTTCCATAAATATTAATAAAAACCTGCGAGACCTCTGTTGTGTGTGCATGTATCACAGGTGTATGGTATTGCCAAATTAATTCATAAAATAGCTCTATGTAGTTGGCTTAAAGAAAGTCAAGTGCTTATATGAGCAGTCAGAAATATAAATAAAATTGATCAAAGTAACATTTATATTTCTCTGGTTCATATAATGTTTTGTTTTTTGTTTGTTTTTTTCACAATTAGCTATGTGAATCAAAATCCCCACATCACACTTGGTTGTTATGTTACTTA